CAGCGCAGGCAGCGCCGCCGCCGCCGCCGCCGCCGCCGCCAGCCGCGAGGCGCAGGAGGACCGCAGCCGGCAGCAGGAGGACATCGAGGAGCTGGAGACCAAGGCCGTGGGCATCTCTCCCGACGGCCGCTTCCTCAAGTTCGACATCGAGATTGGAAGGGGCTCGTTCAAAACGGTCTACAAAGGGCTGGACACCGAGACCACAGTGGAGGTCGCGTGGTGTGAGCTGCAGGTAAAACATGACTTGCAGCTGGCAGCGCAGTGGGCTTGTCTTGCCTGCCCGCCCACTAGCTGCCGACAGGGATGCAGATGCAGCCTGTCCTGCCATGCTTACTTCCCAGCCACTCCTTGAAAGGAGGGTGCAGCTGCTTCCCTGGGTCTGGCTGCCTCCTCTATTCCCAGGACTCGTTTCCCTTGAGAGACCAGCCTCAGAGAGGGGAACAGCATTCAGTTTGTGGCTACACTTTTTTTTGTTTTTTTGTTTTTTTTGTTTAAGGCTTTACATCTTTGGGAGAATGGGAGGCAACCTGGAAGGCTTAACAAATTCTCCTAGTCTCGGGGAGGCATGGCCAGACTAGAGAGGGGCTCCTAACATGACTGTCTGCGTGGATTGCAATCTAGTTCGGGTTTGAATCTGTTTAGGAGAGGGGATGTAACTTGGAAAAAAATGACTGGTGTCCTTAAAAGCACACACGTGATGAAAGCATCTGCTAGAAGCTGCTATGAAATATCCTAGCAAAATTCAAATAAAGCACTGGTAAATGGATGTCAAACTAGTTGGTGCAGTGCACTACTATTGTCTTGTAGCTCCAAGTAGGCTCTGTTGCTCTTGCTCAATAAAACAGCCTATCAATAATAAAGCCTCCTATCCGTAGAGCTGTAAAAGATAAAATTCAACATCTTCAGGTGACTGCCCAGTTAAACTGGTAACTTGCTGTACTTCCCAGTTCTTGGATATGGCTTTGCTAAACCGCAGTCCCATGATGTCAGGATCAGCCTGAGCTTGGCGAGTTAGAGCACGTATAACTGAATTAGAGGCAGGTTGCTGTGCAACAAGGTTAATGGGGAGGGAAGAGCTTGGAGTACCAGTTACAAACACCTGACACGTTAGTATTCTTGGTAACTTGGAGATGGGAGCCTCTGCGCCAAAGAGTGAAGAGTGCTTCCCTTTCAGAAATTTGAAGAGGCAAAAGGAAAAGGCCCAGTAGAAAGTAATCTCTTCTACTAGTGTCTGAGTAGCAAGCTTTGCAGTGCTTGCTGCTCACAAATTGACTAGCTGTAGTGCATCATGTGCCAAAACTTATTTATATTTTTTCTGTGAAGAGCAACTATTACTGTCAGACAAACTACTACAAGACTTCTCAGCTCTCATTTGCTTTCTGAAGTGTGCTGTGAATAAAGTTTCTTTTTAGTGTTCTGACTAATGGCTAGTACCATCAGCACATCCGAAGTTTCTCTTAACTTCACAAATCTCCTTGCACTCTCACCACCAATTTCCCAACTTTATTATACCAACAGTGCCCTTGTCATTGTTCCGGGTTGCATTTAGTGATGTTGCCCAGTTACATTTTAGGATCTACTTAGACCTTCAGTGTGTGCTGTACTGAGAGTGGATTTTAGTCATCCCTTCAAATTAACTTTTGCTTTGAAATTCTTCTCAATGGTAGAAACTCTCTGATTTTGCCCTCTTGGATTTATTTTTCCCGTTTGTTACTGTTGTTAGCTTTGAAGTAGTGGCTTCTGACTTGAGCAGAAGTTATGATAGGGTGCTGTTTTGAATACTTTAAGGAACGAAGTAGCCTGCAGAAGTACCAAGTAGCTGAAATATATTTCTCTATGGAATTAATTTAGGGACAGAGCATTGAATTTCAGAGTTTGACTACAGTACTTCAAAACATAGCATTTAATAACGGTGGTAGTAATCTTTATTATTATATTATATAGTAATAATCACTTGCGCTGCATGTGTGAACTACTATATATAATATAGAAGCAGAGATTACTACTGTTGCTAAATTCTGTGTTTTGAAGTATTGTAGTATTCAGTGTTCAGCTTAATGTATTTCTGTCTTGGAGTTTTCCTTTGTATATAAAGGAAAACTTTGAGAGAGAAATACATTGAGCTAAATGCTGTCACCCAGCTGAATTTCAGGAATGTAATGTAGATTATATTACTCTAAGTTTGTTCACTGTGGAAAAATGCAAGCCTTAGAACATGAATGGAGAATTGCCCTATAGCCATTGATTTAAGCTTATATAGCCATTGATATAAGCTCTTGATTTATGAAAAAGGTGTACCTTTTTCATTTTACAACTTTTATATGTTGGCCCCTTGCTGCTTTTGGTTTGTATTGGAGTGGGATTTGGTAGTCAATGTTCCACCAGCTACATACTTGTTTTGTTACTAATTGTAGGAATGTGCATGACTGATCTGTCTCTTGCATTGAAATGTTTTTGTACTGGGTTTCCATCACTAAAATACTACTGTATGGCCTTTTAGGGATGTATAATAAATATGATGAGCTGATGTACAATAAATATGATACTGGGCAACCAGTGTTGCAGTATGGTGACTTAGCAGGTTCTCTGCTGGACTTGGTTGTATTCGTTTCTCCTGTGAGCATAAATGAGCTAGGATTCCTCTATAGTTGCCCTCTGTTATGACGCATACTTGTAGTTTAGTTTGTTTTCCTACTATGATATGTGATTTTTGAAAATATGTTAATTGGCTTTATAGTTGATACAAATGAGGAGGGGAAGGAATTTAAAAGAACTATATCTTAACTTCATTTACAGAAAAAGCTTTGTTTAAATTTTTCACTTATACCTTATATTATAATGTATATAATTAATATTATTTCCTTTAGAGCTCTAACAGTACCACTGCTGTGTAAACTGGGCTAAAGGGCACTGTAAGCATTGGAGAGCTGTAGAGCATGACTAACTGTCCTTTCAGCTCAGGATTCTTGTAATCAGTTCTACCATAAATCATCTCTGCACATGATTAGACCTTACCTATATATATAAGCCATTGTCAGAAAACTAGTCAGGGGTGTTGGCATGAAATAACCATTTAGCTTGGTTCATATAAATGTTGACATTAGTCTTTTTCAATTTAGAAATGTGGGGGGGAGGGGGTGAGCTGTGAGGCAAAAAGTGATGTACCTTCTTGAGACATGTACCTAAAGCTCTATGGATATTGTCACAGCCAACTGTCTTGGGTAGATCTTTAATATCAGAGAAGCTTGAAATACTTTCCTGAGAAAAGGCATATACTGTATTGCTAATCTTGTCTGGTTTGTTAGTAGTTCATAACTTGAACACTATAAACAATATTGCAGCAAGGCTTTCATAGGCCTTGTTCCAGGATTTGGTGCCTTTTGCAGGAAAGTCTAGAATGGACTTATCAATGGGTTAACCATGACCGTTTTTAATTGGATGACATGGCTATCTTTAACTGTCTTCTGGAAACTCAGTAAACAGGACAGATAATATCTACCAAAGCAACTAAATGTCTTGTCTTCCAAAAGCAATGGAGCACATAAGATGCATTTAGGTGAAAGAGATTGCTGTGGTTTCTGTCACCAGTTCTGCTCACTTTCTGAATGTGTGAGATGGTTATTACAGAAAAATAGTCTTCCTGGAGAGAGAGCCTGACCTATATGAAGAATTTGAAGATTTAACTCAAAAAAGGAAAGGCCCTTTCCAGTTAATGGAGAAAGGAGGACTTGTTGCAGAGACAATGGTCAGTTGTTTGAAGTTTAAGAGGTAGTCAAGCTCATATATGGGCAAATGCTGTGCCACTCATTTCCCCTTATTCTTTGGTTCTACTGACCTAAATAATAGTTACATGAATATACTGTATTGCTGATGTACCAGTGTGGCAAAAGTAGATTACGTGGCATCGGTGCAGTATTAGTCTGGTTAATATGACTCTCCAATAGGGAGTAATCAGTCCCGTCCCTGCTAGAGCAGTGTGAATGGGCATTCCGAAAGCAAGACTGGTAAAAACATTATCATGCATTAGTGGCTCCTGTGAAAGGAAGCTGAAAATGGACTAGTTTAGCCATATTTTTTGTGTGTGCGCTAGTTTTGTTTATAACTTTTTTTTAAAATTTTGCTTTGTTCAGTCCTATGATGTAAAAACCAAGTTCTGGTTATAGGTTACACTGCACTTAGGTTTGCCATTGAATGCATCTAGCCCCTCTTCCTTAGCAGTAGGTGCCTTTTTGCTTTGTTAGCTGATATATAAAAATGAGTAGGTACAAACTTAATAGCATCGGTGTTCACAGTTAAGTATGAGACTTTTCTCACATGCAGCTTAGCTCAGAAAAAATGAGAAAGCATCCGGTTCTTAGACTTTTACAGCAGGAAGTAGTGAGGTGCAAAATACTTTCATATACCAAAGCTCTACTTGCTGAACACTTTGGTTTTGATGAAACGTGTTCAGGGAAACTTCTTATTGAGTGCAAAATGTACCCTTAATCTTTAAACAGGATATGAGGGCATCTCTGGGTATATTGGTGTTGCCCTTGGGTAATTGCTGATCATCCTGTCATGTTAGCTGTCTAACCTTAATTTTATTAATGTAGCTTTAACTTGGAAAATGAAGTCTGTAGATATAAGAACAGAAAACAGTTTGAACATAAACATCTCTTCATCCTCATTACACTTAAATACTGGCTGACAGAAATTGAAATAACTCTTAATATCTTGCTTTCTGAGCAGGTTGAAATTGCAAGCATGTCAGGAGCTGCGTGGTCAAGACTTAAAGCCAGAAAGGGTCGTGATATCTGCTAACCATACAGTCAGTTTCAATGCCTGTCCAGGTTGCACATTTAGGGAGGCTTGACTTGAAAAGATGTTGTTTAAAATGCAGGTCTGTGCATTTGAATTGCAACATACCTATTTACTCTTTGGTTTTCTCTGGTTAGCTGGATCTGGAATAAGTTTTGAAATATTGATTAATTCCTGGTTGTGCCCCTTGTTGGAAAAGTGGAGGCTGTTGCTGTTCAAGATCTGGAAGCATAATCAGAATTTTCTAGAGGAACATTCTTGTTGCTGTAAAACAGGGGAAGTATTCTGCAGCTATTGAGACTATACAGAGTTATAATTAATAGGGATGCACTGATAAAGATTTTCTTGGCTGATACTGGTAGCCGATTATTCACTAGACATATCAGCAGATACTGATCTGATAACGATTTACAGGAGCACAGCCAGGCAGCATGG